CACAGATGTTTTTCAGTGCCTATATAAAATTCACCACGATCAATTATTTGATGAATCATAAAGCAGGCCACAGCAAATTTCAGAGGACTCAAATCATTCAGAATAGTTTCTGTTCACAAAAATGAAATTAATTTAGGGATCACTAGCTCATTCTGTAGTTTTAATCTTACTGAATTTCTGGGGGACGAGATAGCTTCAGTGGGAGAGTGTGTGCTTCGCACGCACGAGGTCCTGGATTCAACCCCCAGTACCTCCTTTGAAACTAAATAAACTTACTCCCCCCACCAAAATAAAATAATAAAATAATAAATGAATAAATTTTACTGAATTTTCTTTATTTATGAATTTCTCATGTATATAGAATAGTGTCAGGTTTAACTTTGTCATTAACTCTATTAATATAATCCTTATGTTCTAGTATAGTTCTATAATATTTTATGTCATGTACATGATATTTTTACATCATGTACATGCATACATATGAATATGGATATATGACTCTCACGTGTGTGTATATTAATAGATCAGTGGCTTTTTAGCATTTTGTTTGTTTTGTTTGCTCTTTGCTTTTAGGAATATTTACATTTTTGTAAGAATTTTAATATTCATACGAATATCTGTGTATCTTATTAATCACATTTTTATTTGTGTATTATTTATTATAAGTAAATTGAAGTGAACTTATTACACTCTTTATTACCCAAACTGTGTGATTGTGTAAGTGATCAAGAGCCAGTCCATCATTCCTAGCTCAAAATTAAAAATTGGAAAAGCAAAGATAACTTAAATGTGATCAAATAATTTACCATTTTGAACATGAGTTTCCTTATTCTTGAAAGAAAAGGAGATGGAATGAACAATTTTCAAGGTTATATTCAAATCATGAATGTCTTGTTATCTGTTTGTAATCCTCCCTAAGGCATTAATACACTGAGAGATGGGGCCTGACGTAAATTATGGTATCACCCCGCCACCTAGTGGATACTCCATTTGTATCGCTTCTAAGAGAAAGTTCATACGCATTGCTACTGATTTTCAGGGAAATTTTTATTATTATTATTATTAGACCCTTTGAAAATGTTCTACCAATTACCATGTATTTTGGTTGAGAATGAGACCACAAATGGAGAATCAAATTGGGAGTGTTGGGGAAAAGTAAAACCAACACTGCTTTCTCCTTACCTCAAACTAGGATAAACTTAAAAAAAAAAACGCGCCGCCTCTTACGTGGTGAGAAGTAACAGCGGACTGGGATTGAAGAGCTCCGTTATCACAGTTACCTGGGCTCGTCCATGTTTTCTGAAATATGCGTCAGGCTGGAGACCTAGAGCAGATCAAAAAAGTCAAGAAAATCGCCTGTAATCACGTCGAGTTACCCTGGAGACCAGAGCAGTCCTCACGGGCTGCACTGTGTACCTTCCGTTCTCAGAGGTTTGTGTATCCGTAGGCCTCCATCTCTCTGCAACTACGCGTTTATATGTAATCCTGGACTTGGGAGGCTATTTTGAATTGAATTCCTTATTTTTAGATTGTGTTATACTCATGTAAGCTTGCAGAAATGGTCTTCTCGTTTTCAGGCAAGGATTTTAAAAGCTTGCGTTGAACCAAATCCTTCCTTGTTAGGACGATTAGAGTAACTGTTAAATTACTGAAACAGTTGTTTTATTGGGTGGGCGGTTAAAACAACCTGTTAGATATGTACAACTTCTGGGTTTTGAGAATCATATAGATTATTTAAAAACAACAGAGCACTTTGAGAATACCAAAGGTGAGGTGATATTAGTGAGATCTCTAGACCAGTATAAGGATTAGTCACGGAAGATGGGACATGCAGAGAGCTGTTGTGGAGTTTTACTTTTGGCTGCGTTCTTCCTGAAGAGCCGCCCCCTTCCTTTTATTTACGTTAAAGTTGACATCTCTAGGGCCCCTTGTTATACCCTTTTAGTGGTACTGAGCAGCCCAGAGGCGCGGGGTCACCCGTGTTACTCTATTTGGGTGCTATGGGGAGGAAGCTTTTCTGTTGTTGTTCTGAAATCATGTTCTTGTGTTTTTTTTTTAATTAATTAAATTTCTGCCTTGAAGACACAGGAAGGAGACCAGGGTTTCTCAAAAATTTAGCCTTGAAAATATTTGAAAACACTGGTTGGAGTCCCCTTTTGTTTTCCTTCTGTATTTCAGACACCTTCAGGCCCTTGATGGTTTGTAAGATCTTCTATCTCCCATATATATATATACACATACATCTATAATTACTATATATATATGTGTGTATACACACACACACACACACATCTCACCTATAATTACTTCGTATTGCAAGGGCGTATACAATTATTCATGGTTACTGGGAGCCACTGACTTACCTGCAGTGGGATGCTGTCAAGAACACAATGCTCCCTTCTGAACTACAATGAAAATGGTTACTACGTCTTTCTGTCTCCGTAAACTACTGTAATACAACCAAATTGAATGTCATGATTATAATAATAGAACTGAATGAGTTTCTTTCACAACGGCTACCCCTGTTTACAACCACCACCGCTTCATTACTACACTCTTGTCTTGTTGGCGGGGAGCCCTGCCACAAGGTTCCACTCCTGTTACTCATCCCAGTTACATTCTTTCTACAACTGGTACCCTCTGGTTCTCCACTCTTTCTAGTACTGCTAACTGCATAAAGTCAATTTCTAAGTGATTGATAGAAACATGAACATTCAAATTCCTACCTTGGCTCAGACTATCTTTTCTGATTAAAAAGCCTTTTGTTTTTCTTTCTTAACCCTGCAATTCTATATTAACCTTATAGTTCAAACCAAAGTTCAAAATCCTATCATGATTTTGCCAATCAGGAAATACCCTGGACATTACTCAAGCATCTCAACATGTGAAGAGCACCCTCGATGTGCTCGACAAAAGTGTAAAGTGAAAGATAAATAAGTAAAAATAAACAAAACAAAAAAGCATTATGCACAGTGGCAATGCAGAAAGGCATAGGATTTTTAAAAGCAAATTCTTGCTCCTCCCAGGGTGTTATAATTGGGTTATAATAACCACATTGCTGCGACCCACGATTTGGAAGACGCCTAGGTGCCTACATCCCTACTCAGAGGGCATCAGTCTGTTGCTCTGGAAACAATGGTTGGACCTTGAATAATCAAGAAGTAAATTCTATTGCACGGGTTGACAAACTACAACCCACGAGCCAGGCCTATCGGTTTGTGTATTGTCTGTGACTGCAT